GTGTGTGTGTGTGTGTGTGTGTGTGTGTTTATTGGATATGTGATTGTGATAAATGTTGGCAGTTGCTTTAAAATTATGCTATATACCAGGGGTGCTCAATCCTGTTCCTGGAGATCTACCTTCCTGCAGATTTCAGTTGCTATCCATATCAAACACACCTGAAGCAATTAATTAGGACCTGAACACCACTTGATAATTACAGTCAGGTGTGTTTGATATGGGTAGCAACTGAAATCTGCAGGAAGGTAGATCTCCAGGAACAGGATTGAGCACCCCTGCTATATACCATGGGGGTCAAACTCCAAGTTGCTGGAGAACTGCAGCGCAGCAGAGTTTAGTACCCACCCTGCTTCAACATTACCTGTAGATTTCTAACAAGCCTTAATTAGTTTGATCAGGTGTGTTTAATTAGAGTTACAGCTTAAAGTCCTGGTCACACTGCACTTTTCTCCATATAGACTTCCATTCATACGCATGTGAATACTGCATACCTGGAATGATAGCTCATGCGACAAGTTTCATAATTCGCAGCATTGGAAAGTTCAAGCTTGGAGAATGCTGACATGCAAAATCACATCATGTGATTGCCTGAGACCAATCAAAGATCAAAACATGACCTCTCTGGCTTGCTTTTTCAATCTCTAATTATTTTGTTTAATTCCAATACTCGCTTTGTTTAATTCCACTTCGCAGTGCAGTATGACAGAATTTTGCATGCTCAAACGTTAGTGTGACCGGAGCCTTACTGTGCAGACCTGTAATATGTAAGACAATATTTATATCTGCTGATTTCTTAATTTTGTTATAAATTTTCTGTTATTTATTTGTTTGGTGCCAAAACAATAAAATAAATTTGTCTGAAAAAATGTTATGCCTTCTATTTTTAAATAACAGCTAAGAATACTGATTAATTTTAGTAACACTACAATAACTATATATGACATACTATTAATGTGTATGCAGTAAAATGCTGTGATTTGTAACACTACAACACAGTATTTAACTGTACACAGTTTCCAGTTAGTTACCACTGCTGCTCTATTACAGTAATTAACTGGCAACACTGTTGCCAGCTACTCACTGTGTTGGTTCCGTTACAGTAAATAACTGGCAACACTGTTGCCAGTCACTCACTGTAATGGTTTAGTTACAGTAATAACTGGCAACACTGTTGCCAGTTACTTACTGTAACCAAACTTTTACAATTAGTAGCTGGCAACAGTGTTGCCAGTATTCTACTGTAAAAAAAAACCTGGTAAGGTCTAACAGTGCAGGCTGAGTGCTCACAGTCTGACTGTAGAGACGGGCCGATACAGACAGAACTGGCAACCTCGAGAGAGACGCATCTGCCCACACTGTGCCCAGGCAGAGGTGGAGACGGAGGAACACTTCCTCACCCGCTGCACAAACTATCAGTACATCCGAGAAACATTCTACACCAAACTACAGAGCATTTACCCCCAATTCACTGAGTTAGACAATAAAACACAGCTTCAATTTTTACTAGGGGAAAAGAATGAGTGTGTCATTCTGGCCCAATACATTAATGCCTGTCACAAAAAGGCAGAGCAGACCAATAAAACCATCAGTGATGCGCCTGCAAACACACACGTTTATTTTTGTGAAAAGTGGGGACATTACATAGGTTTTCATTCATTTTATACTGTCCAAACCATATATTGTATTGCCCTCACCCCACCCCACCCCTAAACCCAACCATCACAGGAGACTGTGTGCAGCTTTACTCTCTGATTAAACTCATTCTGTAGGATTTATAAGCATTTTGAGAAACGAGGACGTCACCAATGTCCTCACATTTCACTTCATTTTGTAATACCTGTGTCATACCTATGTCATTATACAGATTTGTGTCCCGATGTCATAAAAACACATGTACACACACACACACACACACACACACACACACACACAAACACGGTTTATTCTGATCTATTTTTGTAGATTTCTATGAATAATTAATGTTGAATAATAATATAATATATTGAATATTATATTATATTGTGATATGTTGAATAATATGATGTATTGTTGATATTTTATTTAATTATTATATATAAATATTTTTCTTTTTTTTCTTTCTTTTTTTTTACTACTACTATTTACTGTGTGTACTGTTTTTTTTTATTATTATATATGTATGTTACTTTTTATGTGAATTTTATAACTGCTTTGGCAATACATTTGTAGCAATTGTCATTCCAATAAAGGAATTATTGAATTGAATTGAATTGAATTGAATTGAATTGAATTGAATTGAATTGAGAGAGGGGGGTGGGGGGCAGAATGTGTTATAGTACCACCTGTGGTGTGATCTGACTTCAGATCAGATGTCTTAAATGTGAGTTCTTTTTGATGTTTATAGTCACCCTTTTACCAATCCTTGGCTCTTCCAATGCAGTTGTAATAAAGCTGGTTTGATTACATTTCAGATTAGAAAAGCAGAGAGGCGTTTGCTGCAGGAGTGAATTATGCACTGCTTTACCCCCCTTAGTTTCACCCCTCACTCCCTCTGTTCCTCTGACCTTGGGGTCATACAAAAGAAAGCTGAATTAATCACAACACCACCCTGTAGAGAGAGAGAGAGAGAGAGAGAGAGAGAGAGAGAGAGAGAGAGAGAGAGAGAGAGAGAGAGAGAGAGAGAGAGAGAGAGAGAGGCTACAGACACTAACAACTCTCTTGCACTCTCTTTTTCTGTTTTGTTTTCTCCATTACATGTTCGCCTGTGGCAAAAGACCTCTGTTTCTCTGTTTACCAAAAACTAAATTAACCCATTTCCAACCCCTATTACAGCTATGTACTCCTGAATATCACCACTCACCTGAGGGGATAAATGCCTCTAACATTCACAACAGAGGTGGAATTCATCTGTCTTATGGCAAATAGAGTTCATGGTGTGAGTCTTTAGCTTCCTAAATATTAAAGGACAAGATTCATACTGTTACATTCATTTTTGGGCTTTTGGGATGGTAAAGAAATAGGAATTCCTGGTGACTGAAAAGAAGCATAACCAAACTAAAAGGGTATCAAAGGTTGTAGCATAAATCCATTAGCAATTATTTAAGCTTTTTAAGATATTAAGGCAATCCACATAATTTGTTGTAATGGTATTACTATTTGGGCCAGCGTGTTGTCTAAGTGAGCCTCATAGCAAGAAGGTTGCTGTTTCATGTACTGGCTGGACCAGAAGGCTTTTCTTAGCAGGGTTTGTTCCCTCCATGTTTGTGTGGGTTTCATCTGAGTGCCATGGTTTCAACATAGTCTAAAGAGATATGATATAGGTGAATTTGTAAAACTAAAATTTAGCCATACTGTGTGTTTCCCAGCACTGAGAGTTGTGCTCTCTTTTGGCCAGGAAACAGCCACCTATTGACCTTTTTTTATGTAAGAACAGGTACAACCATTTGAAACCTTATTGGCTTCTGGTCACATTCACTTTAATTGATATGCAGCTATAAAACAGCTTGTTAAGTGCCTGATGCTGCAAACTGCTATTTTCTTATGATATTATTTTTATGTATGTCAAAAACATACTTGTTTTATAGCGAGTAGTTTAACTGTTTATTGATATTGGTTGTCCTTATTTCTCAAAATTAAGGTAAATAATTCATAACTCCTAAAACAATCACAGAAAGGAGTTTAAATTGCATTTGCATAGTTAAATTAGTGGAGTAGGAAAAATATCACTTTAATGATTTGAGCAGTGTCAGTTGGCATTTTTGTGTGGAGTTTGCATGTTCTCACCGGATGCTCCGGTTTCTCCCACAGTCCAAAGACATGCGCTATAGGTGAATTAAATTTAAGCTAAATTGGCCGTAGTGTATGTGTGTGAATGAATGCAAGAGTGTATGTGTTTTCCAGTGCCAGGTTGCGGCTGGAAAGGCATCCACTGCGTAATATCATATGCTGTTACCGTTTCATTCCACAGTGTCAACCCCTGATTAATAGAGAAAATTAACTAATTAATAATTTCATAGCACTTAATTGTACTATCGGCTCTTCTGCAGTCCAACACTGTAATTGCCATAAAGACTAAAACTACAATACCCAGTCCTAAATCAAGATCCAATCAGAGAAGCCGTTAGATAGGCCACCATATAAAAGAATTCCTGTTACATCTAAATGCCATGATCGAATATATATATATATCTCAACACACACACACACTCACACAGAGAGAGAGAGAGATAGAGAGAGAGAGAGATTTCTCAATGTTTTAAACAACCCCTTAATTCAGAGCTGATATGACACCTTGAACTTTATAAGTGTTAGACTGACTGAAACAAATGAAACAAACATCTTTCCCTCTTCTAGTTAGTCTTTTCCCAGTTCACTCCCAGGTTCTTGAAACCAAGACAATGCTTATTACTCCAGATTATTCATTTAAATCCATGAAGGCAATCAATTAAGCTTAAGTGTCCAATAAATCTAAGTCCCAAAACATCAAAACCAGACTGATTTTCAGTAGCCTAATTGGATTATGTGGACCTAGGCTGAGCAAAACAGTGGCAGCATTTTTATTTTTGTTTATTTGTTTTATTGTTTATTCTATGTTATGTATGTTGTATTATTTAAACAAAATCCGCCTTGTTTTCTTTCTATAACCTTTTCTTCCCCGCTGCTTTGTCTCGTGGGAAATTACAACAGAGGCTGGACCCTCCTGCGAGACTGTGCTCTGTTTCTTTCGTATTTCTCAGAGTAAATTCAATTTCAAACCAATTCTTTCGTGCGCTTTGCGATTAGATGGATGGACGGATGGTTAATTCGAACGTAAAATGAAAACACTAGGATTAAAAAAACCGTTTGAGTACTAAGCGTGCAGATGTCTCTGCCCTTCTAATTTTCTAAACACTAGCTATGCTTTGAAACCTTTTATAGTCGGTGCTCCGCTGTAAACCCAGCCTGCTTGCGTATTGGTTGGTTAAACGTCATATGGAAATGACTTGAGCTATGAAGCCCCGCCTATCCTTGTAGAGCTGCACGTCTTCTGTGTTTATACCGAACAAAATGGCTGCAGAGGCTTGATCTTGACCCGATGCTTTCAGCGCTCTCTTCGGACACTCCGCACTTATTCTTGGATATATGCGCTGTCGTTTTAAAACACATCTTTGGATTTCTGAACGCAATTGCAGCCAGACTGCTCGCTACACTGTTCGCTATCTTTAATTTTGCACTTTACTGAAGCAGCTCGCCTCGTATAATCTCATGACAGCAGCAGCTTCAAACTGCCCTCTTCTTCATTTTGCACCGTACGTTAGATCAAATGCTAATACTGATGACAAATGTATGTCACTGTACTTTACAAACTGCCTCGCCTTTTTAATGTGACGTTATTTTGTTCTATATTTTAATCGTGTTTGATAACGTATATGACATGTATTTTATTTCAATCATGCATGCATCTTAATCTCCATCAGAGCCAAAAGCTCCAAGTCTGCATAAATATTTTATAACAGACGTCTTTCGTTTTCAGTTTAAATTTTGCATTTCTTTTTATTCTGCTGCCTTTTTCTGGAGACATTTCGGAATCTCAGCTGCTCGTTCAGGACAGTGTTACTTTGTTTTACGGGTACTTTCGTGGGAAAAGGCCTTTTGTACCATTGTACAACATGCAACACTTTTTTTAACGAAAGCTGCCAAAGCTCGACTTGTGATCAAAAAGGTAAGTTGATACTGGCTGTGTGTGTATGAAAACCTTGCCCATTGACTCCTAACATAAATAAACGGTCTACAGGCTGCATTCGACCTTTTTCCAGTCTATAATTTATCAGTACCTTTTCATCATCTGCAAAGCAGGCTGTGAATTTAGAAACATTTATTTGTTGTGGTAATAGTTTAATTGAGGGCTGGTACTTGAAACTTGCAAGTTTTAATTTAGCGAATGGAGTGACCATTTAAGACGCTTGACCAAGTTACTGCCGGTTGAACGAGCCTGTAATGTGTTTACCTTTAGTTTCTTTTAGTTTAAGCCTCTGATAATTGATAACTTGATAATGTTCTTTCAATTTTGTTTCTAACTGTCGCTTAGACGTGTAATCTGTCGTTGCTTTCCTTTTTAGATCAAAATTAGCTTTGACCATTCTACACTGATGCTTATTTGTTTAGGTTTCTGTTCTTGTTAGCTCACCAAGCTACTAAAGTAAACTAACTGGGCAAACATAACTGTTTGTTTTGAACTATAATGATTGTGTTTTAAAATAAGAAACAAATCAGAACATGAAGTTAAAATAGATTTTAAAAAATGAAAAAGGGCAGATGCCCTTTATTCTTTCTTTCTTTCTCTCTCTCTCAAAATAATTGAAGATTGGTCGAATTATGTTGTGTATACTATTTATATAACAGGCATTTGATCCTTTTAAACATAGTTGAGACCTCCAATTTTTGTGGCCATATGGCTCTACATTTTTACAGTTTTAAATTTTTGCTGGTTTACTACAGCAGTAGAAATCCACAAAGTACTGTATAGAAATCCCTATAGGATTGTAAAGTATTTGCTTTTTTGATTAGTTAGCTCTACATTATATGTTTAAAAAATATAGTGCATTGTTAAAAAACAAAAACTGGTATTTAATTAATCTTATGAAATAATTTCCTCTATCTCTCTCTCTTTTCTTTTTCTCTATTTTCTAAAAGAACTAACCACAGAGTTATTAGAAAAATATCAATCTGTAAAAAAAATTTTATATTTTAAATGAGGAAAATATGGGCATGACCAATAAAAGAATGTGAGTGTACAGTATACAGCATACTTTGTAGAAATTCTGTGAATTAAACTGCACAACCCAAAAGAAATAGTAATCAAATTAGAAATAGCTAATCAAATAGATAAGAGCTCTTTGATTTAAAATCTTTGATTTTATTTTATTTTTTTTTTACATTTATTTGCATTTATAAGGAAAAAGCTTGCTTATGGATATGACAGATGTGAAATTGGCACTTTTGTGACTTTGGTAAATCAAATATAATTGTTTGAAAACATTGACCCAGACATTACAGTTTGTAAAATACAAGCTATACACAAAAAACCTAGAAAGGGTTTCGCTATTTTGCAATACGTGTATATATAAATATATTTTTCCTGCCATGGTTGACATTTGCATGGAAATGCTTATATATATTCATACATACTTTGAGAGAAAAAAAAAATCATTCTTTACTGTGTTTTCCTCTCTTGGAAATATAATGCCAGTGATAAAATGATTAGGCTAATTTGCTTAATTCATAACCTGCCTACTCTTTGAGTGTGTGTGCATCTCAGGCTTAATTATAAATCAGGGAGCTCCTATGCTACAATTCACCCGTGATTTATTCCCCACGCCACCTCCCATCCTTGTCTGGATCTAAGGATACACCGTTCCTCCTTTTACTGCAGGGGATTGGGGTCAAAGCTTGGAGGTGTGAGATGCCAGTGTTCAGCTTGTGTCAAGAAGGCAAAAAGGACAGACCTTTATGGATGAGCCGTCTTGCTCAAGCTTGAGGGTAAATACAAACCTCTGAACTGCAGAGCTCGTAAAAACTGATGGGTAGCTGGAGACGGGGAATCCCTTGTCTTTCATAGGATTCTCTGTGCATATTGCAGCTTTCTGTTAGATTACAAGCATCAATTTACAGCAGGATATAATTTAATCTTGTGGCTGTGCTTTGCTTGCTTTGTTAAAATTAAAGCACATTGCTCTTGTCTTCGAAGATTTCAAAGGCTGACAATAGCTAATTCTCCTTTAACCAGAGATGGGAGGTATTTTGGTTATGCAGTTATTAAATGTTTAAAATCTGGGTTAAACAGTGTTATGCTGACATGCTTCTGTTTGGTTACTAAATGTTTGGTATCTGACTCAGTTATTTTTCAATCAAATATTTTTGTTTGATACATTCAAAAGAAAAATCACCCCTTTGTCAAATTTAGAAAGGATAAATTATGAGGTCTTTTAGGCCTTATTTTTCTCAGTCATTACTTCATCACACTACAGCCCAGTTCATTTGAAGATTGAACCCTCTGATGTAAGGGACTGAAATCCTCTTGTCTGTGAACAGAGAATGGTTAGCAATGCAGCAGGACAGGATGGGGTTCGGTAAGGGAAAGAGTTGGAGAAGAAAAGATTTGTGTGTGTTGGCTGGTGTCCCAGAAATTGTCTCTGCTCTGCTTCAGTTTTTCCCCCCATTCTGTCTTATGATCTTTTTTTTTTTTTTAAGGTACATTGAAGTAATTCTTGTGTTTGTGGATGGTTTTTTTTTGTGTACTGATATGTGTTCTCACATTTAGATTTTTTTCAGAAATGCAGCTGGATTAGCTGGTTGTTTAAATGCATTGGAGAGAACAATTCATCAGCACAAAAACGCTTTGGTGGACACAGCCTCATGTTTCTTCTTTCAAGATTTTAATGTGATTATGGCTGTATTGTACAAATAAGCATCAAATTTATTTTATTTATCAATATATAAATACTATTTTTGCCTGTGTTGTGTTTTGTACCTTTGACTGGCTGTAACAGGCACTTTAAATGAAAAAAAAAAAAAAATTATATATATATATATATATATATATATATATATATATATATATATATATATATATATATATATATATATATATATATAAATAATTTATTTATTTATTTTATTTATTTATTTATTAATTTTTTTTCTGTGAGTGGCCTCTTACATTAACTGCAGTTTAACCTTCATGATGAAAAGGAGAACTATTAGAGGATTGTGCTGTCTCTATTTCATGGAGCGTTGTGTTTTGGTGTAGCACCTTATCTGATTTCATTTTGAGAAATTTATTCTGAAAAGAGCTGGTACTGATGTTTGGACAGCTATAGTTTCTATGTAGTATTGTGTAGCCTCAATTCCACCTCAGTTCTATATACCTGGGGCCTCATGTATCAACGCTGTGTATGCACTAAAACTTTGCGTACGCCAGGTTTCACGCTCACGTTTGGATTTACTAACGATGAAATGAACATGGGAATGTCCGCAGGTCCACGCCAACTTCATGCCTGGCGTAAGCACATTTCTTGTGATGAAATCTGATGTAGTGGGGGAACAAAAACAATGAGTTCATCAGAAGCTGGATTCCAACCGGGTTTATGCTCGAACTTGTCAAATCATGTTGCCATGCATTTTACGAGCTACGCCACTCATGCTGTTAAAGCCACTACAAAATGTTACACCTTTACATCACACTATTTCTGTTTTAATTCACTCAGTGCGATGTTTAGACCCAACTGTCTTAACTTCATCAGCTAAACTCTCCCACTCTATTTTTTTCTTTTGTTACTAAATTCCGGAGAACAAACTTGCAAATAACACCGTTCTTCTCCGGTCTACCTCCGAAAGCAGCGCCTCCAATTCACATTCTGTTCAAAGTTTCTCTTTTTGCTTGCTTTTGCCATTGCTTTTTCGTTGTGTTTTGCCAAAGTAGAGTCATTAGCATATTAATACAGGGGAGGAGGCTGGGAGGGGTTTTACGCTCGTGCATGTTGCGCTCAGTTTCACGTTCATTCACATGTACAAAGAGAATATGCGTGGGATTCGGCGTACGCAGTGTTTCATACATCTGAATTTTTTTCTGCGTACTCACATTTACAGCTTTGTGCCTATGCAATGTTTTAGTATGATTTCAACGCAAGTCTTCGTACATGAGGCCCCTGGTGACTTAAACATGACATGGTTAGAGCACAACAAATGGCATACTCACACTATGCTTTTTACGGTAAAATTTTACTGTATTGATTTATATGGATTTTTTTCATCATTCTTACTGTTCAATAAACGCAAACTGTGGTAGATTATTAAAGACACCAACCCCTCACTGCACGACTGCTGCACCTTTAGCAAACCTCCTAATTCCTGCAGCACGAGGACTTTATGATTGTTTATGAGTGTCAAAAGTGGTGGATCTGTTCGGTGAAATAATTGACTGCATGTCACTGCATCCCAAACGAATAAAACGATATAAATTAAAAAATCTCCTTTATGCTAAGCGAGAGCGCTTTTCTACTGAACAGCGCATCATTGATGACATAAGCATGCCCACCCATGCCTGAATGTAATGTGAGTGCAGGTTGTCAGGGGAGACGGGAGGGCGGACAAGCGTGCTTTAGCCGTGTTTAAGGCAACTGTACATAGTGTGAGTACGCTCAAAGACTCTTAAATAGCTTGTGCATACCCTTAGGTGATTGGTTTCCATTTGTCTACAAGTTGATGTAAATAAATCAATTGCCCAAAATTGTCTCAATGTTTGCTTTAAGTTACTCACCTCTATGTAATATGGGGAGGGTAACCTTACGTTGTTAAAGCTAGGTGGCAATTCTTAGTTTTGTCTGAAATTGTTTACTTTAGATTAAATCAATGATTTTTATTTTTTTTTTTTCAAATGTCTAAAAGTTGTAGTTGGTCTTATAAAAACAACAGAAATCATTAAACAAATCATTTTGATCACATTTATTAACCAAATTAACTAATTTGTTTTTGTTTTGGTGAGCACTAAATATTTTTGCTTCCAATCAAATGCAGAAATCTAAATTTAGTCAACAGTACTTTAATTTGTGTGGTCTACATTTATTATACTTTTATGATGCATTAGGTTATTCTAATGCTTTACAGGTTGTCGTGCACATTTTAGAATGTTGTTCAAAATGTTGTTGATGTTGTTGTTGTTTT